AAGTGGTTCATAACCAGATGATGGAGTGTGTCAGACAGCAGTATGAGGCGTCTATAGAAGGTGAGTCTCACTTTCTGATCCTGGTCTGGTCAGTTGTTGCTCAGTGGTTGGCGGTGTCTTTGATTTGGTCCCTCGTTGTTGTTGTTGTTTGTTTAATTTCCACAGGTAGATCTTTTGCTCTTTGGCTCAATTGGCTGCTGCTTCTTCACTGTAATTGTATGATTGGTCGTCTGTCAGTTGTCCATTGGTGCGACAGCTGGTCAGTTTCACTGTGTGTGTGTGTGTGTTTCAGAGCTGAAGCAGATCCAGCAGACAGATGTGGAGAGTCTACAGAGAACCCTGGCACAGACTGAAGTTTCTCTCTCCGTATGTTTCACCACTGACCTCATATTTACACAAATGTCTCTTTTTATCCACACACTTCTGACAGATGCTTATTCCCAGGAATTCTCAAACTGTGTTTGACGGAATGTGACAGATAGTGTCGCCAGTTATAAAGAAATGTGTTTTCGTCGTACAAATGTCTGTTTATTGTTATGTCAACAATCAAAACAAGTACGAACAGTCCAAAATATTCTCCAGGACCACCTTAGAGGTATTGATACTTCAATACAAAAATATTGTAGTACACTATTGTATGGGTGAGTAAATATCAATGGAACCATCTGACTGAGGTCCAAAGATTTGTTTGACGTTTTAATCTTAGATTTAGTTCAGTAAAAAAAAAACGCAACTATACTCCATAGTGATCACAATAATGTGTTGTTTTCTTTTTACTGTAGTAGTACTTGGTAGTTGTTTCATGTAGAAAATAAAGAAAGCGTTTCTCGGCTTGTTGTCATGACAACAGGTTTTGTTATCCCAGGTTCGACATGTTACAGTCATTGTTCGATCAAGTCTGTGTTTGTCAGTGTGTTCTCCACTGACTGAGTTGTTTTTATCCTGGGAGCAGGAGAGAATCTGTGAGCTGTCTGCTGAGAAGGAGGCGCTGGGGGAGAGGCTACAGGAGGAGGAGGAGCGAAGGAGACGGATACTCACAGATAAGAATCTGGTAAGATAACAACAGTGTAACATTTGTAAACAACTTATTTTATCTGATTTTTTTTTTTCAAACCTGCGAAGAGAAGATTTATATTTTTAACACCCGATAGACTTTGTACTTTTGGGTTGTTCACCGGCAGGTGATCCTCTAACTTATGGTTTCTACCACATTTTGGCTCTTTCAGCTAATCAATATTCTTTTTTAAATTTTGATTAAAACACAGTACATAACCACACAACTGTGTTCTTTTACTGTCATGAATATAAACACAGTTTAAATAAAATGCAGCATATAAAATTGTCTCATCTGGTGCATCTTGATTGACAGCTGCAATCACATGACTGCTACTAGAATGTCTATGGGGCCAGAAATTTATGATCCTTCATGTTTGGACTTTGCTCATGGTGTCCCCCAGGGTTCAGTATTGGGCCTGAATTTTTTTTGTCAGAGTTTTACATATATTGTGATCATGAGAGAAATTTAAAGTAACATCATTATGATTTAAATACACTGTTATTTACTTGTTGATTCACGCCTCTGTGCCGGTACACCATGACTCTGTTAGGAAACATTTAATGTTGTAGAGAAAAGTTAATATTGGTATAACAAAAACAAAATTTATATAAAAAATAAAATTAATTAAATTTAAACATGTCACATGTATGAATATTTATGTGTGTTTGTTTGCAGAAGGACTCCCACACTCTGTACTTGGAGCAGGAGCTGGAGAGTCTGAAGGTGGTGCTGGACATGAAGAACAACCAGCTGCACCAGAAGGAGAAAAAACTGATGGAGATGGAGAAGCTGGTAAAGACCTCCGTCTTTTTTTTTTTTTAGTCTCATGTTGATCATCAAAATTGTTTTTCTGATTCTTTTTTTTTCTTTACATGCAGATATTTTTTTAAACATTTGAATGTGTGTGTTTGTGTCTGTGCTGCAGGTGGAGACGAATGTGAAATTAGAAGAGTGTCTGAAGAAGGTGCAGCAGGAGAACGAGGACTTCAAGGCCAGGATGGACAAACACGCCGCTCTGTCCAAGTAATTTCAAACACACGTGTATCAAAGTGTGTGTTTGAGTAGCGAGATGATGTGTGTGTGTTTTGTTTTCAGTTCAGACGTTGACGTTTGTGAGTAGAATTCCTCACGTCTGTGACATATGTAAAGTTTGAATCCAATGTCACGACCTTTGACCCTCTCTCTGGTTAACTGTTTTGAATGAAGCACTGACTCTCCCGCCTACTGTGTGATGGATTACTGCTGCTCTCTCATAGCTCTCTGTCTCCCTCTGCAGACAGTTGTCCAACGAGCAGGCCATACTCCAGCAGACGCTGCAGAAAGAGTCCAAGGTCAACAAACGTCTGTCCATGGAGAACGAGGAGCTGCTGTGGAAACTGCACAATGGAGACCTGCTGGCCAGTCCCCGTCGTCCCTCACCCACCTCCCCCTTCAGCTCGCCCAGGAACTCGGCCTCCTTCCCCACAGCTGCACCCTTATCTCCCAGATAACCTGAGAGCAGACGAGAGCCACCTCCTACCCTGACACCGACGCTCCTCATCAGCCCTGAATGGATGGAGGAGATGTTTGAACCAGAGCAGTGTTGGGGACTGATCATGTGATCAACCTGTACAGTTATTTGAAATATTTTGCAGCCTTTGGCACTGATGCACTTCGGCCTGAGCAGAGCAGCCACCTGACTCTCTGTCTCCCCCTAAAGCCTGGTTCGAACACACGCACATACATCACACGAACCTGCAGACACACACCTCCGAGTGAGGACTGCCTGGTTGGTTTGTTGAATGCTCAGGCCTTGGGTCAGAGATGTGGGTGTGTGTGTGGGATCATTGGAACAGTCCCTCTTTGTTTGAGCTTTGGGGAAAATTCAGGAAATCACAAACACTTTCTCACTGGATTTGTCTGAAGAAGAGATGTTTCGTTTCCTTTGTGGCCAAAGAGCGGAGTTCAATCACTGATCTTCTCTGGACCTTTGATGGATTTTGATCCCAATGAAACTGAACACGTGTCGCCGACGTCAACCTTTCAATCATTGGATTTTTGGTTGCTCTGCATAAGCTCCTCACAACGTCTACCTTGTTCTTTCTACTACATAGAATGTACTGGACACACACACACACACAGCTGCTGCTGCTTCACAAAGTCAAGGTGAGGATGTTAGAGCCAGTGTTCTCCTCAGAGACTTAAAGTCCCCCTGACCATGGGGTTACAGCTGATCAGTAACAGGGCAGATGTTTCTTTCCTGTTAGTGTGATTTCTGACTGGAAATTAATTTTCATGTGTGCCAGTCGGGGCGTGGGGGAGGATGTGGGTGCATCTTAGAAGGATCCTTGACATTGTGAAGCACCAACTACTACAGCTAAGTGTTTGCAGTTAAGAGGAGGGCGCTGGAGCTCAGCTTCGTTTCCCTCAACTAAAACGAGGTAGAACTGGAAATGTGACTGAGCATGAGCTCAGGTGTGTGTGTGTGTGTTCTCATACTGGACACTCACTTCATCCCTGGTCCTTTGGTGAACATTTAATCGAGGAGATACAGGGAATGTTTTACTGGATTGAAATTATGCTTTTGTTCTAAAACAACCCCCACCTCTGCCTACCAATTGGTCCTTAACTGTGAGAAGATAAAATATAAAAAAAGAAAGAAATACCCAATTGGTGTATTGTTTGTACCTTTGTTTTGTTTTCTGTTCAGACCACATAAACCTTGTATCAAAAGTTTATATAATATACAAAGACTTTAGGGTAGATTTGCAGCTAAATATACATTTTAGGGTAACAACTAGTAAAGTAACATACTAAACCAATCATTTTCTGAAAGAGTCTTAAACACTTCATAAAAAATAATTAAAATGCACTCAAGGTTGAAGAGTTCTGGTGGTGGTGTTCTATCCCCACCACCAATTAGAACTCTTCAATCTTGACCTTTACCTGGATGACTGAGAATCTTCCCAGACATAAAATGCACCCATTTCCCATAAAAAAATTAGCTATTTGATTTTGTTTAAAATTCAGAAAAAAAGAAAATTCTGCACGTCAACCTTTGATCATAGTATACTAATGATTTCCTGAAAAACTCAAAACCCAAAAATTACATTTAAAATAATTAGCTTTTTATCATTACAATTTAGAGAATAAATCAAATATTGTTTTGCTGTCAAAACAAAATGCTAAGTTTCCCTTAGAACTTCACAAAACTAGAAATTATAGAAACTGTTCGTAGATTGTTATTGAAATTAGACTCTAATTACATTATTCCAGTTGTTTTGGAATAATGTTAACTATTTACAACATAGCACATTTTTCTTAAATTAATTGATCTACCAAATAAAATAAAGTTGTGATTCACACTGATGTTTGAATTTTATTTGGTTAATTACCAGAGTTAACCCAGTGTGGAGAAGTTGGATCCTGGACCTGAGGTGATCAGAAGGCTTGTTTCTCCTTCCCCCTCTTGTCTCCAAAAATAAAAGTTTCTCAAAAATGACTAAAAATACACAGCTATGTCAATTCTATAGTTGAAATGCAGAAAAAATGTACTTTTTTGGTACGCCAACTTTGGATCACAGTAAAATACTATACAATTTTAAAACTTCACACTGCATCTGGAATATTTACAACTTTATAACTTTTCTGTTACAGTCGTCAAAGAACGCTCTTTCTATCAAAGAAAAAGTTCCAAGAGACTAAACAAAAAAAAAAGAATGTGAATGTCAGCAGTCAACTGTAGGGGGCGCGCTGATATTGGAACGTTTGTGTAACGGAAATAGGAATACGTTGTACTTTCCTTACTTCCGGTTTCAGATCCGACGCATGAGTCACCAGTATTAGCCGTTTGGGCTTCCAGCGTGCATACAAGTAAAAACACTGGGCATGGTGGCTACATGTGATTGATTAAAATGGTGAGTTTATTTTAAACAAATTTCGGTTGTATTTTGTTTGAAATGGTAGTCGTTCGGTCGAGACCGTTAGTGCAGTTTACGCTAGCATATGTATCTCGGCAGCTAACGTTAGCTTTTGTCAGAAGTTAGAATGATTCGTAGTTCGTTTTTCGTCCTAAATAATAAACATAGAGTTGCCGTGGTTAATAAGAAATTGGCCGTTGACAGGAGTTTGAGCTTTTTGAAAATGAGAAATTTGCAAATATTTATTTTATTTACAGAAAGCCATCCTACTGCAGGGACACTAACGGTCCATCACTCAGCTCAAGTACAACGGAGGACACCTGTTTACCGTCGCTAAAGATCCAGTAAGTGCCACGAATGACTATAGGATAGTAATTATATTGACGTCAAGAATATGGATAACCACGTGAAGCTACAAATAATTATCTGCTAGTTTTGACTTGCAATTGTGTTACAAACCTAAGGCTATATGTTCTATAGTGCGTATGATATGAAAATCATACTGTTATCATGAAAGGGGACACGCCTATGGCCAGTAGAATTTATGTATTTTCATTTAGATTAAAAGGGAAAGAACAAGGATTTCTTCCTGAGGTTATTGGTGGCGTCAATAATTTAGAGCAAACTTCAGGATTCAAAGCGTTTATTGACGTGTACAGTAAGGAAAGCAGAGTTCCCTGTACAATGAAAATTCTACTTTGCTGTCCACACTGAATGCCAAAGAGTGAGATAAAGAAAGAAATAAAATAATTCAGCATATAAAAAAAATAAATCAAGAAATAAAATAACAAAATATACACATGAATAAAATAACAATATACACATGAATCAACAGAAGTATTTACAAAGTGCAGTAGTTGACACTTGTGGATGTGCAAATGTGGCATGTGTAAAAGAGAGAAATGTTAATGTTATTGTCCATTCCCGTTCAGGAGTCTGATGGCAGAAGGAAAGAGAGTTCTTGAGCTGGGATGTTTTGCATGTACAGTGGATATAAAAAGTCTACACACCCTTGTTCAAAGCCAGGTTTCTGTGATGTAAAGAAAAGACACAAGCATAAATCGTTTCATAACTTTTTCCACTTTTAATGTGACCCATAACATGTAATAGGCAATTGAAAAACAAACTGAAATCTTCACGAGGGAAAAATAAAAAATAAAAACCTAAAACAATCTTGTTGCATAAGTATCCACACCCTTAAACTAATACTTTGTTGCAGCACCTTTGGCTTTAATTACAGCACTCTTTTGAGTGAGTCTGGCACATCTTGATGTCGCAATATTTGCCCATTCTTCTTTGCAAAATCGCTTCAAATCTGACAGATTGCGAGGGCATCTCCTATGCACAGCTCTCTTCAGATCACTCCACAGATGTTCTATCGGATTCAGGTCTGGACTCTGGCTGGGCCATTCCAAAACCTCAATCTTATTCTGGTGATTTTTATTTGGGGTTCATCAGAGGGACTTTGCATGGTGACAGGTGTGTGCTCACTCCATTTAACATGAGTTTGCATGTAATTGGTTGAATCCAAACACAGCCATGCCCCCAGTTATACAGGGGTGTGCATATATATGCAACAAGGTTATTTTAAGTTTTTTATTTTTTCCCTCGTTTCAGTTTGTTTTTCAATTGCCTATTACATGTTATGGGTCACATTTAAAGTGGAAAAAGTTATGAAACAATTTATGCTTGTGTCTTTTCTTTACATCACAAAAACCTGTTTTGGATGCAGTCCTGACCGCTCTCTGCAGGCGTTTGTGGTCCGTGATGGCGGTGCTGTTGTGATGCAGCTGGTGAGGATGGACTCAACAATGCAGCTGTAGAAGTTGCAGAGGATTTTTTGGGACTTCCCAAACCTCCTCAGCCTCCTCAGGAAGTCCAGGTGAGGTCTTCGTTGATGTGGACCCCCAGGTATTTGAAGTTACTCACCCTCTTCACTTCCCGGCCTCGTATAAGCAGTGGCTGATGGGGGTGCTTCACCCTCCTCATGTCCACTATCATCTCCTTGGTCTTGTCCGTGTTGAGGGTGAGGTTGTTGTCCTCGCACCATGTCGCCAGTGTGTCGTCTGCAAATTTCAGGATGATGTTGTCCTTGTTTGTGGGAGGCCACACAGTCGTGGATGAACAGGGTGTAGAGGATGAGACTGAGGACACACCCCTGAGGTGTGCCGATGTTGGTGATGATGCTGGCTGAAGGCCTGTTTCCTATCCTGACAGACTGAGGCCTGCCAGTCAGAAAGTCCAAAAGCCAGTCACAGAGAGTAGAGTAGAGTC